ATGTGTCAATCCTCTTCCTAGTGGGCACTGCGCTGCAGTGAACAAGGGCATGCCTCTGTATACCTGTGCTACATTCTTTATTTCTGTAGGGGGCATACCATCTAGCACTAATCCTGGGCCACGTGCTATTTTGGTTCCTAATTGCTTGAGGACGTGCCATACCTCTTCCCCAGGGGTTGCGCTGGTTTACAGTTGAGCAGGGAGACCCTGAGTTCCCAGTGAAAAGGGTCTCTGCCATGTGACTCAAAAAAAAAAGTTTCTTTGCAAAAAGTTGGAAAAAATGGGCAAGACCAGTGTCTTCACCCATGTCATTTTTTTTTAGAGAATGAACATCAATGCTATGTTTCTGAAGACGTAGACTTCTATTAGCATCATTACCACACCCCAAAAGACATGCCTTTGATATCCAGATGGGAGGGACTTTCTCCAAAAAAGACTATCCTAACCTAGTTATTTTAAGACCTCAAACCTGAAACTGGCTTCTATCCAATGTGAATTAGATCATTCCATCTGAAAACTTAATTTGCGTTCCGAAAGCTTTATAAGTCCGTCTGGATATCCGCATTTACATAATCACCACTCCCTCCCCTTCTCCCATGCCTCTCTCTCTTGGGTGCAGAGGTGTAGGGTTGCCAGACACATTTGGAAGTGAGTTCATGTGACTCTTAACCCGCTGGAATTGGTGTTCTAGCGCCCCTGACACTGAGTCCTAATGTACTTTTCATTAGTGTTGAATATTGGGAAATCCCATTTCACAGAGCCCCAGGATTAAATTACTTCATTTGGGAGGGAATAATGCATTCCCTGTCTTTTCTCCTGAGGTGCCAAAAAAGAATGAAGCTGAGATCATTTGCATTTCATAAGGCCCAGATGTATTCCACTCAGCGCAACAGGCAAAGCTTGGGAAAGCTCGTAGAGACAATATTAACTAGCAAGGAACCCCACCCACCCACAGAAAGTGAAATGTAGGGAAAAAATACACTGTAGAAACAAAAATATTTTTAAAAAGTTACACTGAAGCTATACATACATAATCACAGTGATTCCATGAAGCAGCAGTGTTGCCATAATGCCATGACTATGCTTTGCAGTTTTGAAATTGTTTTTATAATAATCAAAGGGGGGTGGAAATAAAGATTTTTCCGTAACCCAGCCAACCACAGATCTAAGATGATAATTCAAACCAAAAACTCAGTCATTGAGTTGATTCCAACTCATAGTGACCCTCTAAGACAGAATAGAACTGCCTCTGTGGATTTCCAAGACTGTAACTTTTTATGGGAGCAGAAAGCCTCATCTTACTCCCAAGGAGCAACTGGTGGTTTCAAACTGCTGACCTTGTGGTTGGCACCTACACGCTGTGCCACTAGTCTCTAGGTCCTCTTTATTTTCAACACCTCCACAGAATGGAAACTTTTGCAACAACGGTGCTGACAGAATACTGAAAAACCAGGTTAGTGGGTGTCACACATGTCCTTTGGAGAGGGGCTGAACATGGACCGAGTTCTCTTCTTCTGACCTGGTTCTCCCATGCCTTCCTTTATTTGCTTCAGTCATTAGGACCACTTTTGCACACATGGCTTTAGGCTGCAAGTCTGTAGAGTGTGACCCTGCTGGTGTTTGGGCCTTTAGGAGAGGCAGCTTTTTGGTGAGCAGCCTCTGCAGGATGTCACTGTCCTTCCCGTGACTCTGGCAGAAATTGCACTAGTAAACTTGTAAGAGGGAAACCTACTGTTTGATGTCCAATCGAATCGATTTTCAGTGGCTACATCAGATGAGAAAACCAAAGGAAACATTGAGGGGGTTCGACAGGTCCCACAGAGTAGTCAAATAAAAAGCAGTCTATCAATTAAAAGCATGTTAGGGTTTTTTTTCCCACCACCCAACACTGTGCCATGCAATGAGGCATACAAAGGGAAGTAGAATATAACCTCGCTTTACAGAAACATGCAGTCTATTGGGGCGATAGGGCACAGCTCCCGGAGTGGTAAAGGAAGGCTATCGTATTTCACCCTCTGGGCCACATTTATAAGACCAAGAATTGTTAGGGTCAGAGAAGAGAGTTACATTTATTGTCCCAAACAGTGTGGTAGAATAGAGTATCAGACAGGAGATTATCAGCCTCAGACAGGCAAATTCTTTTTAAGTTGAATAACTTTGAGTCAGTCCCTTCCCTTCTCTGATCCCTGAGTTTCTTGTGACTGTAAAATGATGACAGGAGGGTGGAGGGCTGACTAGAAGATCCCTGCAGCACCTTCTGGTCTTGACAGTTTCAAATAGTCATAGAAACCCTAGTGATAGAAATAGTAGTGGAAATACTACTGCTACTTCAATAAATACCCAGGGACCTACTATTGGCAGGTGGGCACATGTTACAGTGGATCTCTTTGAATTCGTATCTCCATTTTACAAAGGGAGGTTTTAGGTTTCTAGGTGGCAGAGAGGACGCTCAATCCCAGGTTTGCCTGGCCTTATAATGCTGTGCTTTTTATACCGTGCTGAACTGCCTCACCTCTGCATTGAAGGAGGGGGGTTGGGGGGTCCTAAGAAGGAAGCAGACATGTAAAGCAATAGCTGTCAGGAAAGGTGGTGTGTGTCAAAAATGGAACATGGAGAATATTTAGAAGATTCTGTATCTCTGAAACTGAAGTGGAGGAAGGGAACTAATATTTGAGAGATTTGCACTAGGCCAGAGACTAGAGATGTGGATGCTAGACCGGGCCATTCTGCTAACTAGCCAGTTGAGTTTGGGCAGTTCATTCTGATGATGGTCAGGTTTCTCCTCCTCCACACCATCAGGGTATCTTTAAGGTCTTTTGGGCTTTCGTATTCCCTGTTTCTTTTAAGTCCCGAGTATGGAAAGCACGCGTCTAGTTCTGATTTTCAGTATGAGCCCAAGGGTTTATTAAAAACAGTCAATGAGGTAACAAGTACTTGTGATGATTTTTTTATTTTTAGTATATGAGAGAGCTTCCAAAAGTTCATGGAAAAATGGATGAAAACATAATGGGATATTTTTCCCACAATCTTTTTGAATCCCTCTTGCATAGGGAGTTGGGAGTGGGCCCAGAAAGATGGGCGTGATTTAGAAAACTCATGACACATTTTAGCTCCTTTTCAATATAAAAAATCGAAGCCCTGGTGCCATTGTGGTTATGCTTTGGGCTACTAAACAAAAGGTCAGCAGTTGGGAACCACCAGTCACTCCTCGGGAGAGAGATGACACTTTCCCCTCCTGTAAAGTCACAATGTCAGAAACCCACAGGGGGAGTTCGGCTGTGTCCTATAAGGTCCACTGAATCAGGATCACCTAGACGGTACTGAGTTTGGTTGGAGTTTTGATTAGCTAAAAGAATCCAGTAGAGAAAGCAAATGATCACCATGCCTTTCCCTACCTATCTTTCTGATTTTCCTATAGCAAGTTTGTTTAAAGCAAATGCCACTTAATATTAGAAAATACAGCCTAGCTTGTCACCTGCTCTGGGAATAGTCATATCAGTTTAAAATGTGAAACGAATATGCAGTATCCTGAAATTTCAAGTGTGAGGTGGAAGGATCATCGAAAGAGGTGATTACTTTTTTCTTTCTGTGATTGGCCCCTGCAACGTGCCCCTCAGCACCAGCTAGCTCTGAGCCCTTTGCTAGATACTGAAAGCCTCTGGTGCCTTCCCGCTTCTCAATGCTCGGTCATCTGGGAGGTAGGACAACGTTTATGCAGAAGGGGCTGGTATTACAAGAAACCGCTTCAACATCCAGTATGTCTCTCCTGTGGGGGGAGGGGCGGAAAGAGGTGGTTATCAGCAACAATACCGATTTCTTGACAAAGGGGTTTAATTGGGATATTCCTCATGGGCGAGATTCTAACTCACTGCCGTTACATGTGCGTGCCACAAGAAAACAGTGGAATAATACCCAACAGATGGGGGGAGGGGGGCAGGTGCCCCAGGCAATCCCTTCTGCAAACAGGTAGAATGAGATAACTAAGTGGTTACAGGCTGGGCTGCTAACCACAAGGTCAGCAGTTCAAAACCATCAGCCGTTCCTCAGGAGAAAGGTGGGACTTGACTCCCATGAAGATTGAAAGTACATTCATTGCCCTCATCATTCTCAAAACCCTTGTGATAAGAGTTGTATGAGCCCCTAATAAAATGATTTTATAAAAAAAAGAAGAGTAACAGTCTTCGAAAGGCACAGGGCTGGTTCTGCCCGTGCTCTAGAGTCACAATGAGTTGGAATTGACTGGACGGCAGTGAGTGTAGCACAGGAAGGTGTGGCCCAGGAGTGGCCTGTGTTTGGCCTGGCCATGGAAGGACATGTCAGAACGTGAACACACTCCTTTTAGCTGATCTTTTCCAAGGAGCCCTCCGAGTTGGGGGTTGGGGGATTTCTTGCCCAGGGATTCTTTTCAGGTCGTTGAGTTATGTCCTCCGGGCGAACTGTTCTCCTGACGCCTGTGAGTGCTCCCATGTTGCCTGTGAGTGCTCCCATGTTGGCTGGCTACCAGCCTTTCCTGGGGTAAACCAGAAGGTGGCCTTCTGTTTGCCTGTGAAATGCCCAAGGATCTTGGTTTTGTTTTCCTCTGAGCAACTACTTTTTTGCCTCTCTCTGGTATTTTCCCAAAGCAAGATTTGTGCAACTGATGGAAATCAGCTCCCTTCCGTTCTGTAACTTGGTGTCTTGTTGATGATTTATTTGTTCAGTAGCAGAAACTATGACAAATTGTGTGAGGCGGCCTCATTTACTTTTTAACTGCTACAGCGCCAAAGAATTTACATGTAAATGCAATGGGCCAATGTTTTACATTTCAGCAGTGGGCAGCACGTACTTTTGTAATGTAATTGACATTTTTACAGGTAGAAGGAACTTAAAATTCTAACCCCTCCTCCCCGACAGGTTATATTATTCGGAAATCCTGATCAGTCTGACATACTGTGTTTTCCTGACTGCCAAGCTGGAGAGTGAGTCTTGATTTTGTTGTTTTTCTTCTCTCCTCTTTAGACATGCAGAGCAGCCAACCCAACCAGTTCACCTTCAGGCCTCTCCCCCCGCCGCCACCGCCTCCACATGCCTGCACCTGTGCCAGGAAGCCACCCCCCACAGCAGACTCGCTTCAGAGAAGATCAATGACAACCCGCAGCCAGCCCAGCCCTGCTGCCCCTGCTCCCCCAACCAGTACCCAGGATTCAGTGCATCTGCATAACAGCTGGGTCTTGAATAGCAACATACCCTTGGAGACCAGGTATTTGAGCTGCTACTGATACCAGGAACCTGAAGCATGGCTGGGGATGATTTCACTGAATGCAGGCGTGCAGTTGACCATAGACCTCGGTGGAGACACCCAAATGTACACCCAGTGACAGGCCAGGTGCATGGGTCAATGGACACGTGCACACACACACCCCTAGACCCATGCCCACCCACAGGCACACACAAAGAAGCAGACGCTCAGGAACTGATAGAATCACTGAGGCGTTGATACCCCAGCATCAGACACTCACAAATACATACCAAACACAGCAGTCATCTCAGCTCTCACTGCAGCTTCAAAGGGACAGCCAACGCCGCCTTGTTTCCAGAACCGGCAAGGATGCCGGCAAATCCGAGCACAATTGGAGGAACACGGGGAGTGTTGTGTTTAATTTATTGCAAACATTGAAAAGGAAGGGTTGTTTCACGCAGCAGAAGCACATGAGTGATTCCGGAGGCAACTGTGCCTGTTGAAAGAAGTCTGGTTTGTAGCAAAAGCATTCCCCTCAGTTGATGTTGTCCACTTGGTGTATTTCAGCTCCTAGAATTCGCTCCTCAGCAATCTGCCCCGTCCTTTAGAGAGCGTACCTCCACAGTCGGAGGTCTCCTGGATATAACAAGCTGTAGCAGGAGACTTGGTGAACCAGGACATCGTTCTCCATTTCTCATCACTCTTTTTTAAATCAAACATTACAACTGACTAGTAACATAGAAAAACATTACTACTATTCCTCATGACCGTGAAGCAATTCTGACTCATAGCAACCCTATAAGACAGGATCCGCGACTGTAACTTTTTGCTTTTTAATTCATCTAGTTATATGTACTTAAATTTAAAAAAACAACAACAACATTTTTTGGTACCTAATCCACATATCATGCAATTCACTAGTTCAATCACATCAAGAAGAGTTATACATTCATTACCATAATCAGTTTTAGAACATTTTCTTCTTTCTTGTACTCAGTGTTATTAACTCCCCATCCCCCCCCCACCTCCCCTGCCAAGAAACTATTTAATCCAGTTACTCTTTATGAGAGTAGAAAGCCTCATCTGTCTCTCGAGGAGTGGCTGGTGGTTTTAAACTGCTGACTTTGTGGTTAGCAGCCCAATGTGTAACTAACTACGTACGCTGCCAGGGCTCATTAACTCATAAAATATCACATGGTTATCTTTCAAATTCAAGGACTCTCCTGTATCTCGCATATGCCTTTTTGTTTTAGATCTACTTCCAAAGCTCTTCTAAACACATTTACATATAAATGATGGGCATAATATACCACTTGATAAACAATATCTGGTGTCAGCTCTGATCAGTCTCTACCCTACTATCTGGGAATTGAGACTGAAAGGGGAGGACTAACAAAGACTGTATTTTGGTTGTTGTTTTTTTCCTCTGCAGCGTATTAAATTAAATGCCAGACATGGCATCAGAGAATATGTCACCATCAACAAACTAAAAGTACAGTGGCCCCAATCCAGGAATCTCTGTACCATCTATCAGTTCCCAGATTAAATAGCTTCATAAACTGCTATTTCAGATGCTTCCCAATAGAAAATAGAGCAGTCAGCTCCTATGTGTTAGTGCTTTCGTTTGTGTTTCTATGTCATTCTGCTTTGTTGTTGTTGTTGTTCTTTGATAGAAAATGGAAAGACAAGGGAAATGAGAGACACAGAGAATGACATTTCTCTTCTGCAATGATTTCTTTTCTCATGCCATGGTGATTTATTCAGTCACCTTTTAATTCACTTGTAGAGAGTAGAGGAAACAGGGTGGGGGTGCTAGCTCCCAAACCGGACAGTTATTCTCCTTTCCTTGAAGATGCCAAATAACAGGAAATCTGGAAGGAATTTGGGGGATGGGCTCAGGCAAATGGAGAGAGAAAACTATTCTTATTTGAAATGTACATCTAGGCATGTTTGTACAAACTGCACCCACGGACCTTCTGTATCTAGACAAGGAATGTATTAATTGGTCTCAGTTTCATAAGATGCAGAGAAGAACATAAGTTTTCATGTGAGACTGAGCACAGAGTACCTTTTTAGTACATTTGAAAATATATTCAGCATCAAGATGAATTTAAATTAAAAAAGAAAAAAAACTCTAGAAGACTGATCAACTAGGAGTTTCCAAATATATCTGGGAAAAATGTTCATTTCACATGTTGCTAAGTAAAGGTAACTCTGTACATACCCTGGTACCACCGTTGAACTCTGTGACATAACTTCTGTGAGCCTCAGCTTCCTCATCTGTAAACCTGAATATAATAACACCTGCCTTGGTCTATCTAGATAAGAAAGGCGGGATAAACAATCTGGAGGAGTAAACAACAGGACCGACATTCCAGGGGGGGGGAGAAGGAAGTGGATGTTAACAAACGCAGGGACAAGTGAACAACAAATGATCCAAAATCGATGTCCAGGAGGGTGTAGGAGGCCTGGTAGGGCTTGATCAAAGGCAATGTAGCCAAGAGGAATTACTGAAAGCCAAATGAAGGCTGAACATGATGGTGGGACAAGAGAAAAGTAAAAGGAAATAGAGGAAAGAACTATGAGGCAAAGGGCATTTATAGAGGTCGAAATACAGGCATGTGCATATGTAAATATATTTATATATGACAATGGGGAAATAGATCTATGTGCATATATTTATAGGTTTAGTGTTAAGGTAGCAGATGGACATTGGGCCTTGACTCAAGTACTCCCTCAATGCAAGAACACTTTGTTCTATTAAACTGGCATTCTGTGATGCTCACTTTCCCAACATAATCACTGAAGACAAAGCAGGTGCATAAGCAAATGTGGTGAACAAAGCTGTTGATGCATGGCTGTCAAAAGATATAGCATCTGGGGTCTTAAAGGCTTGAATATAAAGAAGCGGCCACATAGCTGAGAAGCAACGGTGTCCACATGGTAGAAGCACACCAGCCTGAATGATCATGAGGTGTCAATGGTATCAGTTATCAGGCATCAAAGAACAAAAAATCATATCATTGTAAATGACTGGGGGTGTGGAGTGGAGACCCAAAGCCCATCTGTAGGCAACTGGACATCTCCTTACAGAAGGGTCGCGGGGAGGAGACGAGCCAGTCAGGGTGCAGTGTAGCAATGATGAAACATACAACTTTCCTCTAGTTCCTAAATGCTACCTCCCCACCCACTATCATGATTCCAATTCTACCTTACAAATCCGGCTAGACCAGAGGATGTACACTGGTACAGATAGGAACTGGAAATACGGGGAAACCAATAATGAGAGTAGGTATACCAGGAGGGGAAGGGGAAGGTAAGGTAGAAAGGGGGAACTGATCACAATGATCTACATATAACCCCCTCCCTGGGGGATGGACAACAGAAAAGTGGGTGAATGGAGATATCAGACAGTGTAAGACATGACAAAATAATAGTAATCTATAAATTATAAAGAGCTTGTGATGGAGGGAGGGTGGTGGAGTGAGGGGGGAAAATGAGGAGCTGATACCAAGGGCTGAAGTAGAAAGAAAATGTTGGAGAATGATAATGGCAACAAATGTGCCTGACACAATACATGTATGTTTGGATTGTGATATAGTTGTACGAGCCCCCAATGAAATGATTTTTTAAAAACCACCAGCCTCAGCAGGTTATTGCAACAATCCAATCTGTATAGCAGAAAGTACTTTTTCCACTGTTTCAAGCTCAAACTGACCAATGCAGTAACAGTCAAGGTCGATTCTAACTCAAAGAGGGCCTCCCAGACAGACTAATATTGCCCCTGTGGAGCTCGAAGGCTACAGATCTTCCATTGGAGCAGAAAGCCTCATCTGGCTCGGGAGGTCATTTTGAACAGCTGACCTTGTGTTTAGCAGCCAAATACAGAACCACTACACGGCCAGAGCTCCATTCACATAGTATTATAGAAATTAAAAATGATATTATCATTCCTACCATGCCTCTGCTTCTATATGTCCAATGAAGGGACTTGACTTTCTGAAGGTGTTCCATTCCGTCTCCAACAATTATAAGCTGGTTGTTATTGAATCAAAATCTACCATAGTTTAACGTATGCCTGTTGATAGTAGATGGAATCCCAGAGCCCACGGAACAAGTAGAAGTTCTCATAATCCTCACAGTCTTTCAGATGCTGTTGTCTGCTACTTTCATCCAGTCAGACCCAACTCAAGGCCACCCCAAGTAGAACAGGATCGGACCATTTTATTGCCAATAGGGTTTTCATCAGCTGGTTTTCTAAGGCAGATCTCAAGCTTTTCTTCCTATTTGCTCTTAGTCTTTAAGGTCCACTGCACCTAGTCAGCATCATCACACCACACAAGCCACCGCTGACAGATGGTTAATGGCTCTGCATTCAGTTCATTGGCTGGAAATTAAAGCCGGGTATCCCTCCTGGAAGGAATCCTGACATGACATCAGCGAGTTCTATCACCGAACCGAACCACCACTGCTCTCTTGACAACCCTTAAGATGCTTGCTGGCAACTCTTCCTACTTCTTTCCTTCAGGCCAAATGTTTCCCCTGTTCCTCCTGTGACTTGGTTTCAAATTCCCCTTTCTGGGCTCTTTCTTTAGAATGCCCCCACTTCATCCACACTACACTTGAAGCATAAGGCCCAAGGATGATGCCGGCCTAAATTAGGCTCTTTTGTCAGGAGCAGTGGTCATTCAGATTACCTCAAATACTTGAGAACTTCCTTGTAGTCTCGCTTCAGTCTAGGGTCCCAGGAAATATTGTTCAACTCCAAAAGATGGGAACTAGCGTGACTCAGTTCCCCAGGGTGACTGTTCCTCTCCGTTCCTTTCTTTTGTCCAGTAGGGGTTTTGGGTTTTGTTTTTCTCTATCAGCTCAATCTCGCTTTTGTTGCCATCTCGTTTCTACTTCCTCTTAACAAAATCTCTGGTTTCCTCTGTACCACATGGTCCCAAGTGTACTTCTTGGTACCTCTCACTGCATCCTTTCACCTGTTTCATTGCCTAACCCCCTTGGTATTTCTTGGT